CTAGACTGACCAAGTATGTGACAAAATGACACACACACACACACACAAAAAAAAAAAAAATCAACGTAAAGCTAAATGTTAGTAAAACGTAAATGTCACTTATCTTCTTTCAAATATGACCAACTATTATAAGTGTAAAATATTTAATGCTACTTGATAAATTGCATAAAGTTTATTTTATTCTCAAACTTGTTTTATGATAATGTTTAATAAGAATGCATCCTACTCTCGGATCTATTTTAGCTACTTTGCAGGTGTATCTAGCGACATTTGGAAGTTAGAGTTGGCATCCATGAATATACTGCTGTTGTCAATAATAGCACGAACTGAAATTCTCTTTCCTTTTCATTTACAAACATATGCTATTGTGGTCGTTAATACCACAGTTTTTCTCCGTGTCAATAGGCATCTTTATGGATTTTTATGAGAACCATCTGCATTCTTGTTTATAATTTGCATCACTGGAAGTTTCTGTTTCTGTTTTGTCTAACTGTTGATCAATGGCACCATTGCTGAGTAAGCGATGATCATTATGTTTACAATAATTAAAAGTTGGCAGCATAACACTGTCAATATATTGATATTGCTTTGCATTTGCCAGTTTGTTCTTTTTCTGAAGTTCCTTTTCAGCGATATGGAAATGTGAAGCTTTTTGTACTTTTCATGTAATTTTTCAATGTGAACAAAATATGTGTAGTTTGCTGATAATTATTGCATAAATATATTTACCTTTTTTTTAAAATTCATATTAGTGGTCTGCCAAATATAAAATTATATATGAAGTGGTCTGTGAAGTTCTAAGGGTTAATGATCGCTGATCTAGATATTTGCAGAATTTGTTGCAGTTTTGTTTTTCATTAGGATTCGAACCAGGATACGCTGTGAAATTTAACTTTTGATGCATTTCAAAATGACGATAATGCAGAATGTTCATTTTGGTGCATAATTTAAAGTTAATTTTTTCTTACATATTTGTTTCATTGTATCCTCGACTGTTCACATCCTAAAATATAATACAACATTTTTTCTATATGATCAGTAAACAACTTGTAAAGTGATCAGCTTGCAAAACAAAGTTTGCGATCTACAATCAGAGACAGGAGTTTCTATCTCTTTAAATTCCGATTTCCTGGATATTTTCATTTTAATGTAAACCTTAAAAGTCATTTATCGATAAGTACTTCATTTATATTTTTATTAGACTGATAATATTAAGTTGTATAGAAATAGTCATAATGGTAAGTGAATAAAGGAAAACTTTTATATGATTATTGTAAATGAAAATATAAGGAAACATGATCTTGTGGCATTCAATTTTTTGGAAAATCAAACTACCAAAAAGGTATAAAAATAGAAAAAATGTGACATGTGAATAAGGTACTTACTATAAGTCTTAAAAATTATGCTTAGATAATAAAGAATAGTTTGCTAAATAATGAAAAAAGAACAAATGAATTGTGTGAGGTAAATAATTTTTTTATCTTCATCTGTTTTGCAAAATATGCCATGAATAGGTTAAATCTGAAATAAAATGTACTGGGCTTCCGATATTTTAATGATGTAAATGAAAGCATGTACTATAATTTTCATAAGTTCTCTTTTGATCACATCAAATGCATAACCAAGAACCTTTGTTAATATTTAAAAAAAATGAAGAATGTATATTTTATTGTATTTCTTAGAATTTATAAAATTTCATGTAGACTTTTTATTGAAAAAGAATAACAAATGCAGCAGCTTTGTTGCGGCTCTCTTTCTGTAAGATTTTCCAGAATAAAAATTAGGAAGTAATTCATATTATATTGATTTTTACAAATAATTTAAGGAATTTTTATTATTCTTTTGATACAATATATTTAATGATCCCCTAAAATGGCTTTTTAATGGCTTCACACTTAAGAGTTTGAAAACAGAGATAAATTGTTTCTGTTCTCTTTGTTTATTTAACTATAAGTTTTATCAACTGCACGATAAACTAATAGTATTATATTTTTAAGAAATTATTTGTAATAGCACTCATTAAAACAAAAAATTAGTAATTTTAAAATACAGTAAACTCTCTGCAAAATGACCACCCACAGTTTAAAATAATTTTGATTTTCTATGGGAGAAATTATCTTAGAGAAGTGCTATTCAAAAGTAGTGTTCATGTTTTCAGAAATATTATTCACTTTCTAAGATGGGCATCTTAGGAAGTTAATTGTCTAATGGAGATTCATGATGTTTTCAGTTTTCTCTATTATTAAATAATGAGAATTTGTATGTGTGTACATTCCTTGCATTGTGGGAAAACGGTCACCGTTTAAATAGTCATCAGTGTAGTTTAGAACAGAGTGATGTAGTATGGCATAAAATCTCAAAATTTAAAAAATCTCAAAATTTTTTTAATTTTGACCATACCTGATGTGCAGTACAGCTCAGCATTGCTACAAAAATATCTATACTGAATATGCTGTAATTAATTGCACTTTTTCTATTAAAATTTTTCTAGAATTTGTTTAAGACCTATAATTATTTATAAAATTTATATGTTTGTAAACTATCGAATAGCGCCCTTTCTTTTATTGCACCTATCTGCATTGCAGGCCCACTTTTGAAAACCCTAAGTATAAAATATTTTTATATTCCAAGGTAATGTTTCCAAAACTTGTAACTGACAGGTATACATTTGACTTGAGGAAAGTAGAGAAAGCAGGCTCAAGAAAATTATATAACAGTGAACTAATATTAAATATATATAGTTATTAACAAAACTTTTTATGGTGCACAAAAATTTTTCCTTACTTTCTTGTTACACTCCACACAAAAAGAACAATGCAGGATAGCCTTGCTTCATAGGAAAGAATACCTCTCCACTTCCTGCAGACTTGCCGATGTCAAATGTCGTCTTGTATTTACCTTAAGTTCACCTTCAGCTGCTAGTTATGCTAGCATAAACTTCATGCTTTCCACAAACGTCATATAATGTCCAGTTTTCTCTTTATTTTCAAATGATATACTATAAAACAGATAAATACAGTAATTTAAACATTTAGAAGATGTGTTATTTCATGCCTGGAAGATTTTAGAGAATTTAGTTTTAATTCAAGCCATTTTTTTTTTTTTTTAGCTGGACAATAAAAATGCAAAGCACTGCAATTTTGTGCATAAATCTTAGTAAAATTTTATATAATTATATTAAGTCTTGGTTATCTAATGTTTGTTTATTCAGTAAACTGTTTAATTTGAACCTATCATGAAAATTTAATTTGCACAAAAATTATTATTATTTCTGTACTGCATATTTTATTCAAGATATATTGTTCATATTGTTGTCAATTTGGCAATAATAGCCCTGACCAGAGATTCTAAGAGCAAGCGCTTTGGAATCTAATTGCCAAGGTTCATTCTAGTATATTCTAATAATATTTTGTATATGAGTTGTTCTTGTAGTTTTGTATCTTTCTTCTTAGTTAGTTATTTGTGCCTTAATTTAGCATATTTTTTAAGTATAGTAATATTCTGAAATCATATAGTAGCTGAGACTAATGCAAGTCAGCATCTAACCTTGCATATAAATACATAATAGATTTTAATTAAATATGATCAAGAGCTATTAAAAAATAATAATTTGGTCTTCTGTTTTAGAAGAAAATATAATTTTTATTTGTATCAAACAAAAAGGTATAAAAATAAATGTACTACATAACGCATGTATTTTTATACGGATGGTTTTATGAAATTTAGCAAAGTTGTTTGATGACTCGGTGACTTTTTTAATTATGTAAATTTTCTTTCATAGAAAGCTAATAATTTTTTATGCCTTGCCTTGTAGCTAGAATGGATTTTTTATTCAAAAAGATTTGTATGTATTCAACAAAATTTGTAATCCTTTTTTAAGGAGCTGAAAACTTTTATCAGGCTTGCAACTGCCATGTGCTTTTTGGGTGGATCTGAGTCTGAGATGTTGCTTTCTTCACTAGGGATTTGCTGATGCTCCTCTGTAAGTTCATCAGTTGTCCTTTTTGCTGTACGAGTCCAGTAGGTTCCTGGCATCGTCACTGTCAACTTTTAATCTAATTGCCTGACAAAATTCACATTATTATATGAGTGATTTGTTCAGTTTCTGACAATGTTTTCATGTCATTTTTAAAAATGAAAGTACAGATTTTCATCTAGAAACCATTCAAAATTTCTTAAAAATTTCTTTTTAAGATTCTTCGACAATACTTACAGCATCTAAAACACTGAAATGTGTAGGGAAAAATAAGGAACCATGTAATTTTGACTTTACATAGTTTTTGGATTTCAGTAATAATTTTAAAAATCTCAAGTAAAAGGAAGGAATAAATTAATCCTTACATTTAAATAAAGACTTTTGAAAAGGCTAAATAAAAATGCAAGTAGTTACCCAATATGGGCATTGAAAGTGTAATGGTTGGTGATGGAAATACTAAAGTGAACTAGGACATCCTTCTTTCTGTTATGAACAAATAATTTTACTGTTGTAAGTGGTAATCCAAATTTAACAGTATCTTAAAAGTATAAAATTGAATTCTGACTTCAGGTAGCAGCAGTTTTTGCCTTTTAATGTCAAAAATGTTTGTAGTACAATTCTGTTTTTTTATTCAGCAGTTCTAGCAAGCTTTTATTAGTTTCAATAATCTGATATTCCGAGTTGTTTATGTCAGATAATTCAGACTTTACTGTTACATAGTTATTTTAAAATATTTTGGTAGCCTTAAATTCCTTAGGAAAGTAATTATTTATTTTACTTAAATGTTTCAGTAACTTAGTATTTAGACCATGGTATGGGAGGGGGGAAAGCAGGAAAAAAAGAAAAATATATATATATATATATTGGAGTATTTTTATTATATGTTTAATTGGATGTTTTTCAGGCAGTAGAGCATTTTGTGTTTTGAAGTGTTTACGTACATGTTTTACCCAGCTAAATTATCTCAACAATTTTTGTTATATTATTTACTACCAAATATTAAATGTGATCTTTATTTTTGCAGATCAAGGATAACATTGGTACTGGATCTTTAACTTGCTCTAAAACACCTGTAAACCGAAAATCTGCACAAAAGAAAAAGCTTGATGATATCCAGAAAAAAGAAGCAAAGGCAAATCAGGCATTGCAAAAAGTATTATCAGAACGGCAGTTAAAACTCCAGGAAAACAAAAGGTATGATTTGAAGAATGTAATCTAAAAATTTGATTTATTTAATTATATGGTTATTGTAAACAAAGGAGCTAAGTTTTTTAAGAATATGTATGTGGATTATTGTGTGATATGAAACCCACTCCTTCAATTTATTCAAACACCTGAAGTAGCTGAATTGTATTTTCAAGAGTAGAATCTTTTTTTTTAATTAATGGCTAAAATATGAGAAATTTACATATATCAGTGATTATATTGTGTTATCAGTAATGAGGTGATGATCCACGCTTATGAAATGCACCATTTATTTTTAAATGAAATTTTATGCTACGTTTTGTAGATCACAAGCATGTAATAATTTATAATGATTTAAACAACTGAGGGGTAGTTAATGTCTGATTATAGACACACCCGATTTCAGCTTTTAGTAGAATTGCCAATTTTTAGTATATTTTCATGTGACAAAAAATAATCAACATGTGTTTGAGTAAGTATTTCAACTTGTTATATTTTATGGTCATTTTGCTAAACATTATCCACCAATTATAAGCATGTAAATATTGAGTAAACATTTTTAATAATATTGAATAACCCCCCTCAAAGTTTCTTGTTTTCATAAAATGCTTCTTTTTAATATTTTTTATGAACATACGATTACCAATGAACTGCAAAGATTGCCAAATGAATATTATTCATCATTTTATAAAACCAACAGTGACTTTTTGTGAGGATGCAAATTATCAGAAGGTATCTAACTCTGCAACTTCAAGTGCTTAAATTCTTAGTGCACAATAAAGTTTGTGGCCTTATTTAGGGGACAAAATCGCAGTCTGGTTTAAATTCCATTTTATAGACATGAAACATTAGATAAGATAAAGATATAGAGCTAGGACGTGAAACCTGTCCTAACATTTGTGGTATAAAATAGTATGTGATCCAAAACATCAAAATTGATTTTTTTAACAGTGAGAAATATTTAGTAGTTTTATGTACTCTAAATAAATAATTACATTTATTTACTTAAAGCTCATGAAACTTCTTTCATAATTTATAGTTCAACAATGAACAATATATTTTAATAATTTAGATATTTAATAATGTAATAAGAATGCCACTTAATAATTTCCATTGGAATTTTGAATATACTATTAATAAATAATATAGTTTATTATGTAAAAATCAATTCATTTCAGGAAACGTGAGGAGAAAATGGAGAAAACATTAAGACAGAGACAAAAAATTGAGAAAGAAAGAGAGGAAAAAAAACAAAGTCATCTGAGAGAATGTGAATCTGTTCATGGGAAAACTAAAAGTGCTCCTAAAAATAGGTATAGTTTATGTGCATTTAAATGAAAATATATACGTGGTGAGATTTTGGCAATGAATCTCAGTTGATCAGCAATTGAATGTTGGGGGCCGCTATAATAAGGAAGTACCATATCTTATATAAAATAGCAAAACATTTATGACCTTAAAGAAATCAAAGTTTAGCCCCCCCAAAAAATGAATATTTATTTGTTTACTTTATTGACTATTTCTTTCATTGCATGTTGTTTAATTTTTTTTATTTTCTGTGCTAATACTTTCTCTTTAATTCTGTGGATAAACATAATTTCTTGTTCAGCTACAAAGTTCCATTGCTCAAGTTCTGTAATTATGGCATTGAGAATTCTGACTAAATTGTTGATCTCCTAGATTATTTTCATTTCTCTGTCACTTTCTTCACTAGATGTGATATTTCTGTTATACTACAGATTTTGCTGCCCCTTTTTTGATTGATGATTGGGCATTGTCATACCAATAGAAAACTGTATCATCATTTATTACCACTCTCCACATTTCTTCATAAATTCCATTAATTGGAAAAACTTAACTTTTTCCTTGCAATGTCTGAAAACCTTCAAATTTGCAGATATCATCATAAAGCTTAGCTAGCGTCTGCTATACACTATTGGTGATGTAACATAAGATTGACAGCCAAAAACATATTGTTCCACTAAATTTTGTTTTGCTTCTATCGCACATTGACGAAGTTGCCCCTGAATTTTATTAGTTTAATTATTTATAATACTTAAACCTATTTTTCGCACATGCTTGAGATTTATCTTAGTTTTGAATAAATAAATTACCACATGTACTTATGGCTTATCCAGAGTTGGCACATAATAAATAGTGTTCAACAACATAGTTGGTGTCCAGTGCGTTTAGTATATTAATTTCGCTTCACTTGCAGTGTTACCTTTTTATAACATGTTGCTGTTGTTGTTGACTAATGCTCACTTGTCTGACCTATAGTCAGCACAAGCCCACGAAATTGCTCGTGGCAAGGAGTGCAAGATACGCATGTCGTTGGCAACAGCCTTGAGCATCTTGCAGGTGACAGCACGATTTAACTCAGTTTTGCCCAAAATTTTGATGGAGAGCACCCTGGGTGACGAGTCCGAGCTTCCCCTCTTCCCTTACCAGCAACCTTTCGAGAGGACTTTCTCCTTGCCTATTTAGAGTGCCCCCATGCTGCATGGACACTGTACATTTGCAAACATCCATATCTTCTCTGGGATTCGAACCCGAGGCCTTTGCACGGCAGTCAGCAATGCTAACCACTGTATCAGTTAGGGGGCTTTTTACAACATAAATGAATGTATAATTCTTCAATGAATTTGTTTGAGTGTGGCTTTTAACAAAGCACAAAATGTTTGCATATTTACACAAAAGATAATATGCAGCCAAAAGTCTTTAATCCGGATGTCCATAATCTGGAATGATCTATAATCCGGACCTCAAGGCTACAAACTTTCTGCGCATGTGTAAATGCATAATGCGCTTACGCAAGAGCAAAATACCTTTACGCATGCGTTTGCGCATAATACGTTTAGTCATGCGCATTTAATGTATAACAGACGGTATAAGCTAAGCTAAAATTATCTAATTCAGTAAATGTTGCAGATTGCGTTATTCCTTAATCTTCGAACTGGATTCAGCTTATTATTTTTTGCAGACTGTTAGAGCAATTTTATAAAAAGTAAGCTTGAACTTTCGATTATGTCAAAAAGAGTTTCCAATTCTAGAGCTGCCAAAGGATCTGCAGGAAAGCATGTTTCTATGTCCATTAAACAAAAAGTGGAACTGCTGCAAAAAATGGATAAAGGCGTGAAGAAAATGACAAAGAGGTGATTTGTTGCTGTAACCATTCCGAAATCTGTTTATCAATTTCACGCTGCTCTGGGGGGGGACGTCACAATGCGCAATGAAATGGAAGTTGATCTGTCAGCAGTATCCTCATCTTCAAAGCAGATGTTTTTATTTTATTCGACTTATAATTCCTCACTAATGTTGTGTTTTTCATCTCGATGTACTCCGATATAATTTAAATCAATTTCCTTTTCATTATAAATATCACGAATACACATCAAATAGTTTTCTGGTTGCAATTTTCTAATTTTGACTATGCGTAATGTATGCTTTACGCATGCGCGCGTTGAAAGAAATGTTTAATAAAGTAAACAAATAAATATTAAGCTTTTTTTTTGTAAATTTTTATACCCTTTAGATCATAATTGCTCTTTATTTCATAAGTTACGGTTTCATATTTTTAATTTTATAATTTCTGCATGCCATCTTACCAGATTTAAACTGATGATCTATAATCTGGAAAAATCGATAATCTGGAATCGCCGGAAAGTCCCAACAATTCCGGATTAAAGACTTTTGACTGTATATATTTTTGGGTTTTCATATTATTATGTTAATAATGCTTCATTTTAAATGTTAATCATAAGCACTGTTCCTTTAATATTGTCACTACATAAAGGTGCTCGCTATACATTTGCACGGTGGCACCGATTAGGCTTGGCGCAGGCCTGACTGTTATTAAATTAGAACTTAACTATATGTACGGGGTTCGTATGGTCAATAAGTCAAGTCAATAAGTATTGTACATTGGGACAAAATTGTATCATAATACAGAGAACGAAAAAGACTGTTAGGTAATCACTCCAATGTTCTTGAGCTTACCAGTGTTAAAATGATTAATTTGCTAAATACTGGTAGCTTGGTTCGAGGTTCAAATCCTAGTTTCCCTTAGAAAGTCTTCCATGAAGGCATCCCTTCCCTTAGGCAGATAGCTCTTGAATGCTTTGCTGTAATCAAATAACCCAAATCAGTGTCTTGAAAGGACAGTATGAGGCCACTTAGAAAGAAAAGTGTCTATGTCCATGTTTCAAGATCATTAAATGAAATGCAATACAAGTGAAGGCATATGCGAATTTTGCTTCCAAATGAAATGTCTGCCAACTGAAATGATAGCACCTGGGAAGGGTACATTAGGGTTGGAAGTATTCTATATTAATTTTTTTTCTCTCTCTCTTTCTTGAGAGCACTTGTGCTTTTGAGGGGGGGACTTATATATTCTATTCTATTGATTATGGAAGAATATTCTATCCATACTTCCCATGAAACTTTTAAAAAAAAATTGATTTTCCTTTTTTTTCTCACACAGTCTAGAAATGGCTAATATGATACTCAAGCAAAAGTGTTTCATAAATTGATTTTTGTACTGATTAGCTGAGTTCCTCCCCCACCTAAAAATATCATTTTTTGTGATAAATTGAATCATTCTACATGGTGATTTGTCCATGGAGGCATCCCTCCCTTAAGATAGATAGCCCTCGAGTGCTTTGCCGTAATCTAATAAAACCAAAAACTACATGGTGATTTGACTTTATCACCTGCCCGTTATTGAATTCCATTTACATTTTCATCTCTGGAATGGTTGCAGAGAGGTAGCATTTTTCTATTCTCTCTAGCCCTGTGGTTCTAATTTACCTTAAGCTCAAGGCTAAGTAACTTAAGCACTGTGAATTGTGCTTTTTCTTAGCTTTCTGATTTAATCCAATTTTTATTTTGTTAGTCTATTGTTACTGTTATGTCATCAGAAGTTTTAATAAAAGACAACATCAATGTCTTACTCTTCCCTCGAAACTTGATATCCAACGACCAGTGACTGGATATCAAAATTTTACATGCATCGAAATGCTGATATAAAGTAGCCCTTTTAAAACATGCAATAGGAAGATCATCTTGGAATTCTTCAAATATTTTTATTTAAAATCTGCTGTGTGAGGCAGTGCAATTTTAAATACTTGCATTGACACAGGCTTATGGTGCCAATTTTTGAAGTTATTCTCACAAGTAGCAATTAAATAAATGCATATTTTACTTTGAATTATAAATATGCTTTATTCATGTTGGGTGCCAACCTTACTGATCACCTAAGGCAGCATTTCCTGACTCCCCCCCACTTAACATAATTTATAATTAGCTTTTTTATTACACTGTATTTAATTTTGATTTAATTTTGTGCATTTATTTAGTTATATATTCATAAAATACAAGTGTTTTCCAAATTAGTTTTGTTATGTATACATTATTTTTTATTAAAACATGATAAGTAACTATTGTGTATTATAATTGTAATTATAATTATTTAATTATTACATTGAGGGAACAGCAATTTCATTGTCTTAGATCTGCCACTTGTTTTTCCTAATATTTGGCCTCTGAATCTAAAAATAACTACAGTTTTTATCTATCATGTCAACTTTTAAGCTACAAGAAATCTCTCTTTGTCTTAAAAATCACACAAAATATGCAAATAAAGGGAAAAACTTATTAAATATACTCTTCACAAAAATAGATTTATTCATACAAAGGTTATATGTAGTTACTGCACATTAAATTTTATTCATGTAAATAGTATTTTTTTTACCAAATGGTAAACATACATATTAAGGTGAAAATTTTTGCTTATGGCTGTTTCGGAAGTTTTTAATGTGTGGACATTCTTGCTTTATGCTCTGATAATAGTCAGCCTTCATATGTACATAATGAAAAAGACGTAGCAATGTTGATGATATTGAACATAGATCCTTACTGAAGAGGAAACTTGGCAGCCAAGGAAGATTAAATATTCATTTTTATTTCAGTTGACATTTGTAGCTACAATTCGCTTGGCATTCTAATTGTGCCTATTCATGAACATTTAAATTTTTTTTACTGTTGCAATAGGAAGAGAGCAGAGCGAAATAACGTCTAAATGTGAAGAGAGGTAGAAGTTTGCAATTATCCAGTATGGAGGCTCGCCAAGAGAAGGTTTTGGTTTAGGTTACTTATTAAGAGAAAGGTTTCAGTTCTCGAAATTTTGAGTTCACTTTCATATATGAGATATGTAAGATAAAATATATGTAAATCTCAATAAAACATATGTAAATATGAAAATTATAATTTAAACTAGCAATATCCCTTAATTCCCCCCCTCTATTCTAAAAAT